TGAAGGACTGGTAGAAGAAGAATTTTCCCACAATCATATGAGTTTAGCTGACGTTTTCATTGAATTTTTTATATAGCTTTGCTTTCCCAAAAGTTGTTCTCATCCAGGGTGGACTGCAGTCCTTCATCCCCTTAAACCAAATTGGGTGAATACCTTTCATACTACTGATTTACTGGTAGTCATGAAAACAATACTTAATGCGAAAAATATGTGAAATTGAATGGAAACGTCAGCTCAGCTCACATCATTGTTGGAAAATTGTTCTTCTACCATTCCTTCATCACCTTAAACGAAATTGGGTGAATACCTCTCATACTACTGATTTACTGGTAGTCACGAAAACAATATTTAATTTAGAAAATATGTGAAATTGAATAGGAACATCAGCTCAACTAATATGCTTGTGGGAAAATTCTTCTTCTACCAGTCCTTCATCACCTTAACCAAATTGGGTGAATACATCTTCTAAATGAAAGTTGTAAAAGGGCGGCAGTGGGATAAGAGGGCAAAGAGTAGATTGATAGACAATGACAAAAAGAGGAGTGATTGTCGAGGGATTTACTTCACTTGTCTCTTTGACGAGTTTGTAGTTCGGTGCTGAGAATGGTGATGCCAACTACGATGCCGGCGAATCCTCTGAGAATGTACCAAGTCCACTGTCTTAGGCTGCAAATCATGACAACTACGACTTCGGACTTGGTACGTTCTACATAGTCGCCCTGGCAACAAGACCAAATCGCGACAAAGAGGTCAACCCACTGCGAGCATATCGGGGGACATATCATCTTGCTTTACACATCTTCGGAAACTCCTAAATTTGCTCGCAAAAAGTAGAATTCCGCGATTGGTGATGTCGTCTCACATGGCCTGACTTTGTGTGTATGCCAGCTTGTATACCTTCGGGCTGATAGAAAATCTGACAAATCTTGCTGGGAAAAGACAACAAAATAAATAAATATATCCAAGATACAGACAACAGAGGTCATGTATTATTTGTTTTTTTTTATGTAAATATAACATAAAAGATAAATTCCAAATTCCAATTTTGCCACTTCGACTCGAAAGATGCCTCGTGCGCTACATTTTCTGGCACAAGCTAACCCACTCCATCCACAGTTGGCTCATACCAACGACATTCCCCAGATCCAGTTGCCACGAGGCAGTGTGACGCGGTATGAAAAGAAGACGCCCATGTCTTCATGCATGCACGCATACACGCACACCGTCCCACCTGCGTGCACACGCATGACTACATACATGCATACGCACACCCACACAAATACCTATGCTCAATGCATTCGATCAGCCGCCCCAACGAATCGGACATGTGCAAATATGCTCACAGTCACATACGTTTCTGTGTATGTGTGTGTGTGTGTATGTGTGTATGTTAGGAGGCGAACAACCATTGCATACACACATTAACTCCCGCCAACATAAATACAAGCAGACATCAATTGCTACGTTTGGGCACAATTACTTCTTCAAATCACACTTTAATCAAGTCAACCTTCGCTGCGGAGGTTCATGTCGTGGCTGTCATCTTTCACATTTTCTCACTCGCATGACGACATCAGCCTCGGGTACCAATTCCTCTCAACTTTGCCTCAAGCTTGTGACTCCCGATGGCTCTACGACGCTCTGTTCGGGCGGATTCTGCAGGCACCAGGCGACTGCCGACGACAAGACGAGGCAAAGTTGATGATGCCGGTGGCAGACAGTCGGTACCGACTGCCTCGGAAACAGCAAAAGTCGGCAAGGGCGGCTGTACTAAAAGTCAATTTGTGTTCTGTTCCGCTTCACAGAACGCTCAGTCGACTCTTGATCCCAGCGCCAAACGCCTCGTCATGCCTGCACATCCTCTCGTGTCGGACCGTTTAAAGAGCCCATCTCCCCCAACCCACCCCCACCCCCCCAGTGCATGACAACAGCAGAATTATAACTCGAGAAAACAAGAATACAGTA